TTTTCGCCTTTTGCGCCGTGCACATTCACAAAGATAATTTGCAAGAGTTTTACGGATTCCCGCGATCAGCGTACCAGACATGGTGTTTTGGAAGGATTGAGGATTTTGCGGTTGCAGCAGTTACGTTGGTTGACGGTGTTGAAATCCCAAGAATGGCGTTCTGGCACGATCCCGGATCGTCAAGACGCTACAGTCAGGTTGGTCCGTGGCGTTAGAATCCCGAGAACAATGTCTTGGCATGCTTCCGGGTCTTCAATCGGTTGTCGTCCAACGAGGCAGATCCCTCAGTGGAAATGAACCGTTGCAGGGGCCTGTGAAGAGGGAGCTTGGAGGGAGGGTGTATTCCAACATCGTTGGTGGTTCTTGGGTTTACACTGGTCCTCCTCCTTCTCCTCCTCTCCCTCCTCCCTCCTCCTCCTCCTCCTCCTTCTCCCCCTCCTCCTCGTCCTCCTCCTCCTCCTCCATTCCTTCTCCTTGTAAACAATTTCTCCCTGTCGCACCCCGAGGCCACTTTTAGGTCGGGCAGGCGTTTCGCCTGAGATTTCCTCACCATTTAGATTCTGAAGATGTAAAAGTTGGCAACACTTTCACAGATGGAGCCCGGGTCGTGTTTAACATGTGGCTCTCGCCTTAGTGCCGCGCACACTCGTCTTAAACATTGGCAGCATTTTCACTGACTGAGGGCGGGCCGTTTTCAACATGTGGCTCTCGCCTCATCGCCGCGCACAGTTGTCTTAAACTTTAGCAAGGGTTTCACGGATTGAGGGCGAGTGGTTTTCAACATGTGGCTCTCGCTTTAGAGCGGTGCACATTCGTTTCAAATATTCGCAATAGTTTCATGGATTGAGGGCGAGTGGTTTTTAACATGTAGCTCTCGCCTTACCGCCGCGCGCATTCCTTTCAAACATTCGCAATAGTTTCACGGATTGAGGGCGAGTCGTTTTCAATGTGTGGGTCTCGCTTTAGCGCCGATCACACTCGTCTTAAACAATTGAATGAGTTTAACGGGTCGAAGGTGGCTTCTTTTCAAACTGTGGGTCTCGCTTTCGCGCCGCGCACATTCGTCTTAACACTTGGCAGGATTTTCACGGATTCCCATGATCAGCGTACCAGAAACAGGATTCAGGCTTATGAGGGTGCACAAGTTATGTTGGCTCGCGGTGTTCAAGTCCCAGGAATGGCGTTCTGGTGCTATCCAGGATCGTCAAGTCAAGGCGCAACAGTCAGGTTGATTTGTGGCGTTAGAATCCCAGGAACAATATTTTGGCATGTTTCAGGGTCTTCAAACCGTTGTCTTCAAATGAGGCAGTTCCCTCAGTAACACTGAACCGTTGTAGGGGCCTGTGAAGAGGGAGCTTGGAGGGAGGGTTTATTCCAACATCGTTGATGCCCCTTGGGTTGCACTGGTCCTCCCCCTCCTCCTCATCCTCCTTTTCCTCCTACTCCTCCTGCTCCTTCTCCTCGCCCTCCTTCTTGTGGAGTCCCGTGTGGCTGGGGTCTGCTGCCTTGGGCAAGATTCACATCCATGCCCACTGCGTCTTGGACTATGTGTGAGGGGGTGCCAAGAAGTGTCGAGGCAGAGGGGATATGGATAAACATTTAGCCTCTAGGGGGCAGGATTTTGTCCATATCCACTGCGCCTTGTGTCTCTGGGGAAGGGAACCCGAAACTCCAAGACGCAGTGGATATGGATACACATCTAGCTCGTAGTGAGGGCACCGTCCCTGGGTCGGTTTGGATCGGTGGTCCGATCGGCGCTGGCCCGCACAGTGCTCGCCTGAGCGGCGGCTGCGGGCTCAAGCGAGTGGACGGGGTGCTGCGGGTGCACCCCCCGTTTGCTCCCATCGGCAATTGAGGTCTGTGGGGGCAGGCCAGGTTACCCCTGTGACCTGTGCCCCTGGTGCTGGGAGCGCCAGGAGGTCCCCCCTCGCCTTTGGCGGTGTGGTGCTGTCGATCAAGCAGCACGTGAGGATGGCGCCTCCGTCCTCCCCCTTCCCTCTTATCTTTTTTTTCCCCGCCTGGGCCGCGACGCACTTGCGGCTCCCAGCTCCAGGGGGTCGCCAGGGGTGGGTGATCTGCCCCCCGCCCGAACGCAAGGCGGCTAGGATCGAACCTCTTGCAGCGCAGCGTCTATGGGAGAGGGGGGGAGGAGCAGTACCTCCCATTGAGGTCCAGGCCTTCCCATTGGGATCCGAGCAGATGTGGTCGGAGGATCGCGCCGCATCGCCGATGCATCGGCGATGCGGCTCGAAGTAGGGCCTGGTTTTCTCCACGCTGGCGTCGCCGATGTATCGCCGACGTTGCCGGTGCATCGCAAATGCACCGGCGATGTGTCGGCGATGCGGTGCGATCTTCTGACCCCATCTACTCGGGCCCCAGGTGAGAGGCCTCCGCGAGGCTCATCGAGTCGCGCTACACCTGCCGCTTCGGCTCGGGGGTCGGGGCGAGCGACGTGGTGCACCGCCGCTCATCCTGGCGCGAGGCTGGGTGGGACGCAGTCGCCAGCCGGTCGTGGCAGGGCCGCGCGCCGAGCCGCCTAAGTCGTCGTCGTCATCGTCGTCGCCGTCGCCGTCGCCGTCGCTGTCGCCGTCTCCTCTGCCGTCGCCGTCGCCGTCGCCGTCGCCTCTGCCGTTGTCGTCGTCGTCGCCCGCGCCGGCGCCGTCGCCGTCGCTGTCGCCGCTGCCGTCGCCGTCGCCGTCGCCGTCGCCGTCGTCGTCGCCTCTGCCGTCGTCGTCGTCGTCGCCAGCGCCGGCGCCGTCGCCGTCGCTGTCGCCGCTGCCGTCGCCGTCGCCGTCGCCGTCGCCGTCGCCGTCGCCGTCGCCGTCGCCGTTGCGGTCGCCGTCGCCGTCGCCGTCGCCGTCGCCGTCGCCGTCGCCGTCGCCGTCGCCGTCGTCGTCGCCGTCGCAGTCGCCGCCGCCGTCGTCGTCCTCGTCGTCGTCCTCGTCGTCGTCGTCGTCGTCGTCGTCGTCGTCGTCCTGTCGTCGTTGTGGTCGCTCGTCGTCGTCGTCGTCGTCGTCGTCGCCGTCGCCGTTGCCGTCGCCGTCGCTGTCGCCGTGGCCGTCGCCGTGGTCGTCGCCGTCGTCGTCGCAATCGCCGTCGCCGTCGCCGTCGCTTTCGCCTTCGCCGTCGCTGTCGCCGCCACCGCCGCCTTCGCCGCGGTCGTCGTCGCCGTCGCCGTCGCCGTCGCTGTCGTCGTCGTCGTCGTCGTCGTCGTCGTCGTCGTCGTCGTCGTCGTCGTCGTCGTCGTCGTCAACGTCGCCAGTGCCATGGCCGTCGCCGTCGCCATGGCCGATCGTCGTCGTCGTCGCCGTCGCCGTCGTCGTCGGTCGTCGTCGTCGTCGTCGTCGTCGTCGTCGTCGTCGTCGTCGTCGGCGTCGTCGCCGTCGGCGTCGCCATCCGTCGCCGTCGCCGTCGCCATCGCCATCGCCGTCGCCGTCGCCGTCGCTCGTCGCCGTCGCCGTCGCCTCTGCCGTCGCCGCCGCCGCCGTCGCCGTCGTCGTTGTCGTCCTCGTCGTCGTCGTCGTCGTCGTCATCGCTGTCGCCATCGCCGTGTCTGTCGCAGTCGCCGTCGCCTTCGCCCTCGTCGTCGTGGTCGTCGTTGCCGTCGTCGTCGTCGTCGTCGTCGTCGTCGTCGTCGTCGTCGTGGTCGTCGGTGTCGTCGTCGTCTTCGCTCTTCGTCGTCGTCGTCGTCGATGTCATCGTTCCCCTTGTCGTCGTCGTCGACGTTTCCGCCCTGTCGTTGTCGTTGTCGTTTCTTTCTGTCGCCGTCGCCGTCGCCGTCGCCGTCGCTGGTGCCGTCGCCGTCGTCGTCGCCGTTGTCGTCGTCGTCGTCGTCGTCGTCGTCGTCGTCGTCGTCGTCGTCAACGTCGCCAGTGCCATGTTCGTGGCCGTCGCCGTCGCCGTCGCCGTCGCCGTCGCTGGTGCCGTCGCCCTCGTTGTCGTCGTCGTCGTCGTCGTCGTGGTCGCTCGTCGTCGTCGTCGTAGTCGTCGTCGTCGTCGTCGTCGTCGTTGTTATCGTTCCCGTTGTCGTCGTCGTCGTTTCCGTCCGGTCGTCGTCGTCGTCGTCGTCGTCGTCGTCGCCGTCGCCGTCGCCGTCGCCGTCGCCAGTGCCGTCGCCCTCGTCGTGGTCGTCGTCGTCGTCGTGGTGGTCGTGGTCGTCGTCGTCGCCGTCGTCGTGGTCGCTCGTCGTCGTGGTCGTCGTTGTCATCGTTCCCGTTGTCGTCATCGTTTCCGTCCAGTCGTCATGGTCGTCGATGTCGTTGTCGTCTTCGTCGCCGTTGCCCTCGCCGTCGCCGTCGCCGTCGCCGTTGCTGTGCCCGTCGCCGTCGCCTGTGCCGTCGCCCTCGTCGTAGTCGTGGTCGTCGTCGTCGTCGTCGTGTCATCGTTCCCGTTGTCGTCGTCATTGTTTCCGTCCTGTCGTCGTCGTTGTCGTTGTCGTCGTTGTTGTCGTCGTCGCCGTCGCCGTCGCCGTTGCTGACACCGTCGCCGTCGCCGTCGCCGGTGCCGTCGCCCTCTTCGTCGTCGTCGTGGTCGTTGTCGTCGTCGTGGTCGTTGTCGTCATCGTGGTCGCTCGTCGTCGTCGTCGTCGTCGTCATTGTCATTGTTCCCGTCTCCGGTGCCGTCGCCGTCGCCGTCGCCGTCTCCGGTGCCGTCGCCCTCGTCGTCGTCGTCGTCGTCGTCCTGGTCGCTTGTCGTCGTCGTCGTCGTCTCGCCGTCGCCGTCGTCGTCGTGGTCGCCGTCGTCGTCGTCGCCGTCGCCGTCGCCGTCGCCGTCGCCGGTGCCGTCGCCTCTGCCGTCGTCGTCGTGGTGATCGTCGTCGTCGTGGTCGTCGTCGTGGTCGTCGTCGTGGTCGCTCGTCGTCGTCGTTGTCGTCGCTTCGTCGTCGTTGTCATCGTTCCCATTGTCCTCGTCGTCGTTTCCGTCCTGTCGTCGTCGTCGTTGTTGTCGTCGTTGTCGCCGTCGTCGTGGCCGTCGCCGTCGCCGTCGCTAGTGCAGTCGCCCCCTTCGTCGTCGTCGTCGTGGTCGTCGTCGTCGTTGTCGTGGTCGCTGGTCGTCGTCGTCGTCGGCGTCCTCGTCGTCGTCGTTACTGATGTTTCCGTCCTGCCGTCGCCGTCGTCGTTGTCGTCGTCGTTGTCGTCGTCGTTGTTGTTGTCGTCGTCGCGTCGTCGTCGTCGTCGTCGTCGCCGTTGCCGTCGCCGTCGTCGTCGACGGGGGGGATCGAGGTTCGAGGATCGAGTGACGCGGCTCGAGGGTCGAGGAGCGGGGTTCGAGTCTCGAGGGCCGAAGGACGCGGGCCCCTTGCGTTGGTGCTGGGCGTGGCCGGAGCAGGCCGCGCCTTCGGTGGCCGGCGTCCTCCTGGAGGGTTGCGTCGGGAGGGTGAGGACATGCGGGCGTATCCGGCGGCCAGCCAGCCTGGGCTCCGCAGGCGGTGCAGCTTCTGATGGTCTGCCCCTCCCGCGGGTGTGCGCCTTGGCCTCGGCCGCACGCGAGAGTGGCCCTGCCCTTCGCCGGAGTGGCCTCTGGCGCGCGCAATCGGGGGGTGCGGGAGGGCGAAAGCGTGCAGACCACTGCTCGCTGCCGTCGCATCGCATGCAAGAAAACGATCGACAAGCCGCTCTGCTTCTTCGGTCCAAGGTTACCCTTAGAGGCAGCGAGTTCTACAGGCCTCGCCACAGTTAACGAGGCAAACTTGCAGATTGGTACAACTGACGAGGGATCATCGTACGCTTCTTACCTCTTGTCTTCCTCCCGCTCCTCCTCCCTCCTTTCGTCTGGACTCCCTCCCCCCCTCCATGCAGCCTCCATCCCGTCACATCCTCTCCCCCTTCTCCCCTTCCTCATTCTTTTTTCTTCTGCTAGAAAGACCTCCTTCACCCCTCCACGTAGCCTCCACCCCGTCATACTTCCATCCACCCGTCCTCCTTCCGCATTCCGTCCATCCATTGTCCCTTCATCACACCCTGGCCGATTGCCTCATCCTCTTCTTCGTCCTTTTCCCTCCGCCCTCCTCCGCCTCACTTCCTGCTCTGCCTCCCTATCCTTCTGTACCTTTCTATCCCTCGGCCACTCCTCATCCTACCTCGCGCCCTCCTCATCCATCCTCCCCTCCCCATCCAACTCGTACTCGTTCTCCTCATCGTTCCCTTTCCTTCTACTGCTCCTCTTGTCCTTCTACTGCTCCTCCTCCTCCTCCTCCTCCTCCTCCTCCTCCCCTCCTCCTCCCAGGGGCGCCCACGGGCGGGCACCAGGCGAAACCTCGGCTGACCGAGCCATCGAACGAACCGCCCCGCCCACGAGACGCCCACGAGCGGGCAGTGGGCGAAACCTTCGGCTGACACGCCCAGCGCATACCAGGCGCCCACGAGGCGCCCACGGGCGGGCACCAGGCGAAACCTCGGCCGACCGACCCAGCGCATGCGAGGCACCCACGGGCGGGCAGTGACCTGTCCAGTTCCTTCGGGAACCGAAGCAAGAACCCCTCGGGGCAAGCACTGTTCGGGGAATGCGCGAGAAGCCCTAATGGTAAGTTCTGTGAAGAGACGGTGCCCTGAAGGCCTCTTCTCCTTTTGCTTCCCCTCTCTCTCTCTCTCCCCCCCCACGACAGCCAGCCAGGTCATGAAGAGCATGGGTCCTGGCTTCCCCATCGAGCAGATCAACGACTTTGTTCTCAAAGGGGGTTGCAGTAGAGTGGGAGCAGGAGGAGGGTATGAGGAGGACGGGGAGGCGGAGGAGGAAGCTTGGGACAGGGGAGAACGAGGACCAGCAGGAGGGGAGAAAGGAGGAGGAAAGACAGGAGAAGGAGGAGGTGGAGGACGGAGGAGTGGCAGGTCTGGAGCACGGGGGGCCTTCGGAAGGGATGCCTTTCCTCTCGGTGTCCGCCTCCGCGACACATCAAGCCGAGACGTTCGACGATGTGATTTTTTGAATCCGCGGCCCCAGAGATCCCGACTCCTTCCCCGGGGACATGCTTTCGTCCCAGATTAGGTCCCAAGGCCCGAAGACGGCCCCGTGTGTCCGAAACTGAACAGGAACGCCGGGATCGAAAACATGCAGTTGCCAGATGTGTGGGGAGGTCACGTCGCCTTGCCTACAGGGTGACTCCCGCAGGCGTGCGATGTCTTGTTTTTGTTCCATGCGCGGTCCCCAGAAGTCCCGACCCTTTCCCTCGGGCCGGCTCTTCTCCCGAGTCGTTTGTTGACTGTCCCAGGGTACGGCGAGGACCCCTAGAGGCCGCAAATGGCCAAACGCTTCCTTTTTTTTTTCTCCCCGCATCCAAAGTGGGGTTCTTGTTTTCTCTGGACACCCCGCGCAGGAACAGGAACACACACACACACACCCACTCACACTCACTCACACTCTCTCATCATCAACCTCATCAGCATCATCGATGATGCTCTCTCACATGCTTAGTCACTCACATACTCATCATCATCATCACTCGCACTCTCTCACACGCTCACGAACATCATCATCATCATCATCATCGGCATCGGCATCATCCTCATTCAAACATCATCATCGCCACCACCACTCACAATCAATCATCATCCTCTTCACCACTCATCTTCACCACCACTCATCATCCTCATCCTCATCATCGTTGAGTAAATTGTGAGGAAGTCTCAGGCGGGAGCCCCCTCCCTATGGGGCCCGCAGATCATGTTGGTAATCCGAGCGGGTCATCGGAACCCTGTAACTGTCGTCACTTTTGGGCTCCCCAGGCCTGAAAATGGAGGAAGTCTCAGGCGGGAGCCTCGTCTGTGAGTGAATTGGGAGGAAGTCTCAGGCGGGAGCTCCCTCCCTATGGGGCCCGCAGATCATGTTGGTAATCCGAGCGGGTCATCGGAACCCTGTAACTGTCGTCACTTTTGGGCTCCTCAAGCCTGAATTTGGAGGAAGTCTCAGGCGGGAGCCTCGTCTGTGAGTGAATTCTGAGGAAGGCTCAGGCGGGAGCCCCCTCCCTATGGGGCCCGCAGATCATGTTGGTAATCCGAGCGGGTCATCGGAACCTTGTAACTGTCGTCACTTTTGGGCTCGTCAAGCCTGAATTTGGAGGAAGTCTCAGGCGGGAGCCTCGTCTCTGAGTGAATTGTGAGGAAGTCTCAGGCGGGAGCCCCCTCCCTATGGGGCCCGCAGATCATGTTGGTAATCCGAGCGGGTCATCGGAACCCTGTAACTGTCGTCACTTTTGGGCTCCTCAAGCCTGAATATGGAGGAAGTTCAGGCGGTTTTGTCCAGGGCGGAGGCGAAGCAGCTCGCGGCAGAGCTGGGCTTCGTGCTGCCTTCCGCCTGAGCGCGGCTGCGCCTCGCTCGAAGCCCGCGGGGTTGTCCCAACGGCTTGGTCTTGCGCGCCAGCGGCTCGCGGGGTTGTCCCGACAGCCTGGCCCGCGGGGTTGTCCCAACGGCTGCGCGACGTGACCAGTAGAGAACGCGCCTGTGCTGGCCGTGGCGGCGACGGCGCCGAGGAACATCGACATGCGCGCTCATGCAACAGGAAGGGGAGGAGGTGGCGGGGCGCGGAACAAACAGGGGGGCGAGGATGGGGACAACGTAAGGAGTGGAAGGGGGGCCCGCGCCAAGGCGACAGGAAATATACGCAGAAGAGACAGCCAGGACGCCTCACCAACCACGAGGACGACGGTGATGGTTTTTTCCAGATTCGCCCAGAGGATTCTTATGCGGGGTTCTTCCGTCGGAGTATTTTTTCTTTTCCACGGCGCGAACGTGTCTGGGCTCGCAAGGTTTCGGGCCATAGCTCGGGTCTCCGGCGGCCGTTCGGGGCGATCTGGGCACTCCCGGAACGCCCTTGGTCAGAGCGTGAACTACCTACCCCGCTTTCGCTTCCAGGCAGAACCAAATCATACCACGCGCCTCCTCGTCAAACGGCCTGATCAGTGCAGGCCGTAGTTTGGCATCGTTTGGTATCTCTTGGAAGCGAGGGTGGTCAAAAGCGAGGTAGGTTTGTTTGCCCCCTACTTGGAGAGACGCTTCTGTTGGACAGCATCCCGAGGTCCCGAGGCTGGAACACCTCCAAGAGCCAGCGACAAGCGCCGAAAGCCTCGCACCTCGAACCGGGGCTGGAACACCTCCAAGAGCCAGCGACAAGCGCCGAAAGCCTCGCACCTCGAACGCCGAAGACCTCGGTCCTCGAACCCACCCGAAACGCACACTGACCTTCCAGGAGGGCGAACAGATAGCACCATGACCTCGACATCCACATTCCGATCGCAGGTTTCAGCAGCCGGGATCAGTCTATAGGCCTGAAGGGCTACTTTTCAGCGCTCTGGAAGGTCAGGGTATGGGGCCGTGAGCGCAGCTGAGAGGCCAGCACGAGCTTCGTGTCAGTACGCCACAGTTTGCGTGTTTCGATCCAGAAAAAAACGCCATAAACATAAACCTTGGGCGCTCCGCACGGACTTCTTGGATCCTCGCTGGGTCTCCCCGGTGGCGCCTCTTGCGCCAGGCCTGGCGCGCTCCGCGCGCCAGGGAAGGGGTCCAGCGCAGATCCACGAAATCCTCGTGGAGCGCCAGAAGTTTATGCTTATGCCGTTATTATTATAGTGTTGAGTCGGGCATGTCCCTCTACAGGAAGAATATTCCCAAATAGTCAACATTACCTGTGGACGATTTTTTAAAAACCATTTTCGTGCATGTTTTATTTCTCGCCCAAAATGCGCCTGCAGGAGGACATGCCCGACCTAATTCTAGTGCTGCGTGTTGGCGAACCTCGCGCCCCGAAGGGCTCGAAGGCCGCGACCCCCCCCAACGCGCAGAGGCAAGAAACAGGAACATGCTATCCGACGTGGTGGTTTGAGCATTAAAGTCGGCATCGAGACCTCTGCTCAGCTTGGCAGAGAAATTTTGGCCCTAGCCCAGCATCCAGACGGTTAAGATAAACCCGCCTGTGCGGCTCGATCCGTTCAGTGAATGATTTCTCTAACCCGCGCATGGAGACATGAGCGCAGGAACCACAATCCAAGCACAACCCCCGCACGTGGCGGCCCAGCGCGCCGCCGGGAGGACAGCACGAGCCAGTGCCTGCCAGACCGCAGCGCGCCGGTCACGGAGGAGCTCTCGCTCGCGGCGGCCCCCCCGCCGCGGGCGGCGCCGGGGCCGAGCCCCCGCGCGGGGCGGGGGCCCCAGCCGCTGTGCGGGCCGGGGGGCCACAGCGCACTCCTGTTCAGTCGCTCTCCTCGTCGCCTTTCTCCCCAGACACGCTCGCGTCTTGAAAGTATAACAGGACGGTCGGAGGTTGTTGGTCGTTTCGGGCTCCTGGGGGCCCTCGCCTGGCGCCGGGGTCGTGGAGAAACGATTCGGGACGAAGAACCGGTCTGGGGAAAGGGGGCAGGGCTGGACCTAGGCGCTGTTTTGCCAGGCTTCGGCTTTGGTTCTTCGTTTCGGCAGGGGGAGGTGTTGGAAAGCATGTCGAGCAGAACGAAGAGCATAACGGAAACAACAAGAACAGAACAGCGTTCAGGTCCAGCCCTGAAGGGGGGGTCGAGAGAGCACCTTTGTCCAGGCGCCCTCCTCGTCGCATCTTCGGGTCCTGTGGCCAGAGCCTCCTTCCCAGGAGGGCCGCGCCGGCCGCGGGTCTGCAGCCCAGCGGCCCTGAGGCCCTGGTGCTGCAACTGCTGCACGTGCGCTGGGCCGTCTTCGCCCAGCCTCGGGCCCCGGGGCTGGCTCGAGCTCGAGGAAATGACGTATAGGAGGGCGGGGTCTCGGGCTCTGGTCGTGCTCTTCCGCGGTGCTGCGCATTGTTTTTGCGACGTCAGAGCTCAGGGAGGTCGGCATGCCTTCGAGGCCTCGTCGTCCCGTCTCGAAGAGAAGGGAGGACGGTATGAGCGTCAGCTCTCGGAGGTCCGCGCGAGTTCCTTGGATCGGCGATTGGCCCCTCCTGGCGGTGCCTCCGGCGGCGCCCCCAGCGCGCTACGCGCGTCATGGAGGGTGCACGGCACGATTTCAAGAAATCCGCGCGGATCTCCGAAAGCGACAAACGACTTCGTCGTGTCTGCCGCCGCCCTGTGAGCTCGTGGCCTTTTTTCACTGCGGGCGTGCTCGCCCACCTTCGGAAGAAACAGTACCGGATACAGTCGGGCACGTCCCTCTACAGGAGGAAGATTCCCAAATAGTCGAAAAATCTGATGGGGACGATTTCTCTAGCATGTTTTATTATTTTTGATGGATTTTACGCTATTTTTCCATATTTCCCAGAACATCCGCCTGTAGGGGGAGGACATGCCCTACCTAACGCTACCCTCCCCTCGTTTTCGCCTTTTTGGGCCTCCTGGGAGGCCCTCGCCGCCACGGCCGGACCCCTTTCGAAGAGTATGGGTCAGCACGCTCCCCGTGAGACGTCCGGGCAGTGGCGGCATCGGCATCTCTTGGCCCCTCCGTTTGCGCCCCGTTTCCGGCCCGCGGAGCCCTCTCGCACGGATCGATCGGGGGCGGCAAAGAGGGGGGTGATGACTAGGGGGGGGTGGATGTCATGGCGTGGGCCATGATATCTCCTCAGAGGTCATGGCGCCTGGCCCCTCCCCCTGGGCGGCGCACATGCTGTCGGCCATGTTTTGCGCCCCCCCCTCTTGGACGCCCTCCTCTTGGACTCCCCCGAATCGACCCGGTCTGAGAAGTACCGCCGAAAGGTGGAGTCGAGGGCTCCGGTCGCGATTTCTCGTGGTGGTGCAGCTTGCTTTCCCAGGCGTGCGATGTCCCGATTTTTTCATACAGGGGACCTGGAAGTCCTGACCCCTTCCCCAGGGCAAGTTTTTCGCCCCGAGCCGTATTTTCAAGGTCCCAGCGCCCAGCAAGGACCCCTCGAGACCAGCAACGGCCAACAACCTCCCGTCGTGTTTTTTCACGACGCGAACGTGTCCGGGCTCGCACAGGTTTCGGGCCATCTCCGGCGGCCGTTCGAGGCGATCTGGGCACCCCTGGAACGCCCCTGGCGGGGCGCGCCTGCTGGACAGCATCCCGAGGCTGGAAAACCGCCAAGAACAAGCGACAACTATCGAGAACCTCGAACCTCGAACCCAGAAGTCGTCGTCGTCGTCGTCGTCGCGTATACTGCACCACATGGACGACCTCACATATATTGCACAACATATACGGCTAGAAACACACTGTTTGGGGTCCACGCTGGCTAACATTTCTCATCACAAGATCCTTTATGGTCTGCATCTACTGTATAGAGGGCCCACTGAGGACGTACGCGCCCGGCCACGTACACGAGGACGGCCCCCCAGTCCGCGAGGCTAGCCTCGCGTGATGAGTGTCGCGTCCGCGCACTGCGTACTTTCGAAACCAACGAGGGTTCCATTGCGTATCGGCGCCACCCCAGCATACTAAAACTATGTGTGCGTCGCCCCCCGTGGGGGCGACGCGCGCACTGAGAAATCTTATAGTATCTGCGTCGTGGCGGGCGCCTTCTGGCCACACCGCTCGGGAAACGATGTACTACAAGATGGGTATGCTATATGTTCGGGTCGGACGTGCGCTTCCAAGGAGGGTATATCGTATTAGTATGTCTCTGTGCGTCCCATACGTACGTCCTTCTTCCGCTCCTGACCGCGAGAGGCGGAGCATCGTGCCCTTGGGCGATCCGCCTGCTGCTGGGCCCCGCCTGCCTGCGGCAGCCTGCGCATCCCAGGCGCCGTGCGCCTCGGCGATGGCGGACTGCGCCTAGCGCGCGTCCTGGGCCCGCATGGCGGTGGCTCTGTATCCGTCCAGTCACATGGCGGCGTCCTCTTCTCGTCTTCTTCACTATGGCGGCCTTGTGCAGTTCTTTCTTGACGGCCTTGGCGGCCTCCGCGGTGGAAGCGTTCGTCTCGAGCGCGTCCCTGTGGTGCCCCGCGAGCGCCTGGCAGGCGCGCGCGCGCGCCCGCGCTGCCGAGGTGGGAGCTCCCCGCGCGGCTGCGCGGCGCGTCCTGCGTGGGCGAGCGCGCCGCGGTCATCCCCACCTTGGCCGGCGCCGTCCCGGAGAGTCCCCGCCGAGGAGGGCGGAGGAGGAGGGGGGAGGAGGAGGAGGAGGAGGAGGAGGAGGAGGAGGAGGAAGAAGAAGAAGAAGCAGAAGAAGAAGAAGACGAATAATAATAATAATACTAATAATAATAATACTAGTAATAATAATAATGATACTAATAATAATAAGAATCTGAAGAAGACGAATCATAACATCAAGACTCATAATAATAATAAAAATAATAAGAAGACTAATAATAATACTCATAATAATCAGAAGAAAGGGAGGAGGAGGTGGAGGAGGAGAAGGAGGAGGAGGAGGAGGAGGAGTACGAGGAGGCGGAGGAGGAGGAGGAGGAGGAGGAGGAGGGGAGGGGAGGAAACGGCAGGAGGCAGCAGGAGGAGGATGGGAGGGATGGAGGAGGAGGAGGCAGAGGAGGAGGACGAGGAGGAGGAGGAGGAGGACGAAGGGAAGTCGAAGGGGAGGAGCAGGCGGAGGTGGAAGACGGAATGAGGAAGGAGGAGGACTGAGGAAGAAAGAACAATGAAGGATAACAGCGCGGGGAAAAAGGATGAGTGAGGGAGGGAGGCGAGAGGATTATTGAACAGAGAAGAGGGAGGGGGAGGAAGAGGAGAAGTGATTCTGATATTCATGAGGAGGATGAGGAAGGAGGAAGGAGGATTGAGGGGCAGGAGGAAGGGTGGATGAGGGGAAGTGGTGATTGTGATGGTGATGATGATGGTAATGATGGGGATGATGATGATGATGATGATGATGATGATGATGATGATGATGATGATGATGATGATGATGATGATGATGCTGATGCTGATGCTGCTGATGCTGATGCTGATGCTGATGCTGATGCTGATGCTGATGCTGATGATGCTGATGCTGCTGGTGATGGTGATGATGGTGTTGCGGATGATCATGATGTTGATGCTGCTGATGATGCTGATGATGCTGATGATGGTGGTGATGGTGATTATGCTGATGGCGATGATGATGATGATGATGATGATGATGATGATGATGATGATGATGATGATGATGATGATGATGATGCTGATGATGCTGATGCTGCTGATGATGATGATGATCATATTCGTAATGATGATGTTGCTGATGATGATGCTGGCACCGAATATGCATACGAATGCGATTATCGTGTTGATGGTGATGGTGATGGTCACGATGATGGTGGTTATGGTCATGGGCATGGTTGATGGGGAGGTGATGGTGATGGTGATGATAATGACGATGGTGATAGTGATGGTGATTGTGATCACGATGACCATCCGTTCTTATGCAGGCCTTCTGATGTTATGTTTTGTTTGTTTGGGCTCCCCTTTTTTGTGGGGCTGTGGGGTTTCCCCTTTCTCCAGGATCCCGCTGCGGATCTCAGCCTGGACACTCCCAGTGTCCCTCGGCCTCGCACCTCCGCGTCCAGATCTCTGCAGTGCCGCCCGGGCCGCTCTTCGCTGTTCGGCCACTCCAGTGTCCCGGAGCCCAGCCGTGCAGCTCCGTCCCGCGCTCAGCTGCTCGATCATGTGCTTCTGCCTGGCGAGGTGTTCGCTTCGTCTCCGCACCACGCTTCACGGACCACCGCCGTGCTGGTGTCGTTCAGCTGCTCGGCCAGCCCCTTCTCCTGGCCCCTTCTCCTGCCTCCTCTTGGTGGGTCGCCCCCTGTCGCTCTCCTGCGTGCCGCTTCGCCCCGGCCGCTTCTCGTCGACCAGGTGCGGTTGGCATCCCATCTCGGTCACATCTTGACTCATGGGAGGGCTCGCGTGATGTCCACCCCACACCGCACGGATTGATGCCGCGCTGGTGCCTTCCAGTTGTTCGGCCGCCCCTACGCATCCCGGAGGGCTACGCCTCTCAGCTCTTGTCCAGATGTTACCTGGCCTTCGCCCGCCTGGCGCGCTCTGCCCGCGTCGCGCGGCCAGCACCACTGGCCCGACGCATCTCGTCTCCCCTTCGTTCCTGCGCCCCTCTCCATTCCCCCCGGGCTCCGCCGTCTCCGCGGCCGTGCCCCAGGGGCCCCTCCCCGCAGTTCCGCCCATGCCGCCCTTCGCTGTTTGGCCGCTCCCGTGCCCCAGCACCCAGTCGTACAGCTGAGGCCCGAGCTTTGCTGTTCGGCCAACCCGCCCCGTGCCACATGGATCTCTTGCCTCCTCGTTGTGGGTTGCCCCAAGTCGCTCTCCCGCGTGCCGCTCCACCCTGGCCGCTTTTCGTCGATCGGGTGCGGATGGCATCCAGTTCCGATCACATCTGTGCTCGATGAAGCGTTCGCGTCCCCAGGATGCTTCCTTTGGCAGGGCTTTCGGCTGCCGCTGTACGGCTTCGCCCCACATCCTGGATATTTTGGCTCGTTATCCCACAGCCTGCTACCCCACAGCCTGTCATTCCACAGGCTGCTGCTGTCCTTAAGTCGGGCGGGGGGGAGTATTCAAAAATAGTACGAACTAGTCTTTTCGAATTCGGTTTAAACCATGGGTTTTTTTGACTAAATCCAAAATCTTACTGCAGGAGGAAATGCCCGACCTAATGTTCTGTTATCCTTACTGGGGCCGCCCGGCAGGGCGCCTCGCTGCCGCCTTCGCTCATCTCCCCTCTAGGGGGGGGGTCAATCCGCTCGTCCCCTCCCCTCTCTCTGCGCGGGGGTGCTCTCTCCGCTCTCCTTCTCCCTTGTGTGTGTGTGTGTGCGTGTGTGTGTGTGTGTGTGTGTGTGTGTGTGTGTGTGTGTGTGGTGGGGGCGTTTTCCCGCGCATCTCCCGAGAGCTGCGTGTAAATGTAGGACCGCGTGCCTGCCCTGCCCCCCCCCCTCCTCTCCTCGTCGTCGTCCCTCGCCTCGCCGTCGTCGTGGTCCTCTCCTCGCCCCGCCGCTCCATCCCTCGGCGGCGTCGCTGCCGCGCCTTGCCCCCCTCTGCCGGGCCTCTGCGGGGGGCTAATCCGGTTTCCGTTCCCCGCACGCGTGGCCTGCCCCCTCGCCCAGGAGGACAATCATAGGGCTGGGAGGATGGGGTTGGGAGACACGAGGCTCTCCTTACTCAGGCGGCCGAAGGTATCGTGAATCGCATCCGGCTGCTACTGCTCATACCCTTCATCCTCCCACCCCCCCTCCTCCCAACACGATGGTTGTTCTCCTCACCCGCTCTCTTCGTCCTTCTCCCGTCGTCGTCGTCGTCCCCTCCTTCCCCCGCCGTCCCCCCCCCCCGGAGGCGCGGCCTCCTCGTCGCTGCCCACTGGGCGTGCCGCCAGCCGCCCTGTGGTCCTCTCCTCTCCCCTCACTGCCTTTGTGCTGTGCGTCCTCCTTCCTCCTCGCTCGGAGGAGGAAAAGGCACCCACACCTCTACCCTTTCCTCGCTTTCCCATCATTGGGCCTCCTCGGAGGCCCTCGTCGCCACCGCTGGATTCGCCTCGAAATTCTGGTCAGAACGCACCTCGGAAGAGGTCAGGAGAGTAGCGGTATCGGTAGCTCGTGGTTTCCCCACTCGCCTCCCTCCTCGGCTGGCTCCTTCCCTCCAGGTGTCTTGCCTTGCCCATGTGGTGTGTTGTGTCTCCTCTCTTCCCCTCGGCTTCTCCTCCTCCGTCGGTCGGCACGCGTCTTTCGCGTCCGTCGGTCTCCTCTCTCGGCTGTCCGCTGTCGCTCCTCGCTCTCCGCTTCTCCCTGTCTTTGCTTGCCTCCCCTTCCCCTTGTCCTGCTGGCCTGGCTACCGCTTCACCGCCCCGTGAGGGGCCTTCGCTGGCGCGTGCGCGCCTGCGACTTTCTTGGGCGGCGAGGCGCACTTCGGCCCACCCGTGGGTCCGCCTGCTCAGCCGGCTCCCCCATTGGTGTGGTAACCGCATCGCATGTGCCGCTCCCCCATCTGGCTTTGCCCGGCCGCCGGTGGGCTTCCGTCCCCCCCCAGCTGCTGCCCGGCGCCGCGGCTGGTTCCCCCCCCTCGGCGCTCCTCCCGCCGCAGCCGGTGACTTGCCTAAGCGGGCCCGGCTTCCCCTCTTCCCGTCGCGCCGGGGTCTCCTCCTCTTCCCTCATCTAGCGCGCCCCCTGATGCCCGATCGCCGGAGCAGTCACCCTCTGCCCAGCCGCCGACGCAAAAATTGTGTGCGTGTGTGTGTGTGTGTGTATGTGTGTATGTGCCAGAGTTCGTTGGCCGCTGCATCCTGTCTTTACAGCGCCTCACTTTTTCCACCAATCTGCATCGCCGTGCCTGGATTCTTTCATCGTGGCGCGTTCGATTGAGTTCGTTCGCGAATTGGCACCTCCTCCTGGCGACCGCACCTGAGGCTCCTCTGCGCCGCCGGCTTGAACGTGTGTGTGTGTGTGTGTGTGTGTGTGTGTGTTTGTGCCGCCGCCCGCCCCTTCGCGCTGCGGCCGCCGCGTGTTGGGCGCCCCCGTGGCGGGCAGACTCTCTCCTCCACGCCAGCCTTGCCCAGATGGTTGGCGCTGCCGCTCCCAGGGGTGGCACGTGCGGCGTTATCCAAAGCGATCCCGCCTGAAGGCCCGGCCGCGCGCGCCCGGTCCCGCCGCTCTTCGACTTGCTCCGCTTCGCCGCTGCGCGCGAGGCCGCGGCTGCCAAACAGTTTGAGTGTGCGTTTGTGTGTTAACGTGCATGTGGCTGGTTCTTGTATTCAGCTGTTGATGTCTGTTGTCGGCGTGTGTTACTCATGTATTTAATATGTTATGCTGTGTGTTATATGCTTTGCTGCAGCTGGTGTAGGGCTTGTCGCTGTTGCTGGTGCACCTTTAATGGTGGCTGTTACTGGTGTGTGTGTGTCATTGGTGTTTGTTCCTGATGATGACCATGCGAGTGTGTGGGGGTCCGTGTATGTGTGTATGTTCATAATATGCGTGATCAATGCAGGTCAGTCGTGTACGTCCTTCGCGTACGACCGTCATGTATGTGCTCGGCGTGACGTCTCGACGCCTGGGCGGTGTGACCCCCTTGGTGGGGTTCTCTGTTCGTTGCGCCTGCCTGTATGCTTTGCCATCATGCCATCATTGGTTTTTCGAGGATCTCCAGGCCCTAGTGGCCGCGGCATGCACGGCGGAGTCTTGGGGCCTGGCTTCCGCGGAATGCAGGGCGGGCGAAGTGAGTCAGGAACCTTCTCCTAGGAACCAAACAACCCCAACCCTTCCGGGGGGAATTGTCAAAGACCCTGCGAAGGTGTTTCCTTGCTCGGTCTTCGATGGTCGGGGGCACATGTCCGTTGCAGGAGGGAGAGGAGGACGAGGCCCCTGACTGGGAGCTGTCGGATTGCAGAGGGCGGCAGATTCGAGCTCCTGGACGCGGGCGAGACCGAGGCCAGGGTCAAGTGGACCATGGATCCGCGGAGCGCTTTGCGCGTGCCGACGCGCCCCGCAGAGTGCCCCTCCCAGACCTCCGACGTCGTTGTTCGCCCGACTGTCCTATGGTGTTGGGTCCTCGTTCGGAAGAGAGCGCCCCGCGTCTCACCTCCTCCCGCTGCCCGCCCCCTCCCCCCATCCGTGCCTTTGCCCATCGCATGCCAATTCCTGCGCACCGCTCACACGTGTCGTGGCCCCGTCGAGAATTCCACTTGAGGCCCCAGTGGGTGCGGCCACATGCGGCTCCCCGCCCACCGCGTGCCCATGCCGGTACACCCCTCAGACGCTTCGTGGCCTCATAGGGAGCTCCACCTAAGGCTCCAGTGGGTGCGGCCCCATGCGGCTCCCCGCCCGCCGCGTGGCCGTTTCGGCACATCTCTCACGCGCTTCGTGGCCCCATGGGGAGTTCCACCTAGAGCCCCAGTGGGTGCGGTCACTCGCTCCCCGCCCACTGCATATTCTTTTCGGCACACCCGTCCCACGTTTCGTGTCCCCAGAGGGAGCTCCAACTAAGGCCCCAGTGGGTGCGACCATATGCGGGTTCCCCTCGATCGCACGTCCATCTCGACACAGTGCTCACACGTTTCGTGGCCGCAGAGGAGCTCCACTTGAGGCTCCAGTAGGTGCGGCCGCATGCTCCCCGCCCGTTGCGTGGCCATTTCGGCACACCTCAGGGGGTTCTCCGCCGCACGCGCTTCGTGGCCCCCAGGGGGTTCTCCACCTAAGACTCCAGTACGTGCGGCCCCATGCGGCTCCCCGCCCACCGCATGTCAATGTCGTCACGCCCCTCAGACGCTTCGTGGCCGGTGGCCCCATACGGAGCTCCACCTAAGGCGCCAGTGGGTGCGGCCACATGCGGCTCCTCGCCCATTTCGGCCCACCCCTCACGCGCTTCGTGGCCCCGTAGGGAGCTCCACAGAAGATGATATTCACAGCTGTGGCACTCACAACTGCATACGGTTGGGCCCTTCGCCAGGGTACGTTTTTGGCTGTGTGGGCGCCCAGAGGTCCGGACCCGTTCTCGGGGGCCCGTTTTTCGACCCGGGCCCCGCTTCTGCTGACGGCCCTGGGGCCTGGCGAGGTCCGCCCAGAGGCCGAGAACGGGCCAGAACTCGGCGTCGCTCAGTTTGCACCGCGCGAGGAGATCGGGCCCCCCTGGTCTTGTGGAAGTCGAGCAATGGAGAGGAAGCGTGCTGCCAAATCACTTCCCAGATGTCCAAACCATGTTCCAAGTATGTCTTAACCATGTTAAGGCCATGTTCCATTTTTTATGGCATTCAACCAGATGCTAAACACATCTTTAATTCAATGATCGGATTGTTGGAGTGTCCCTCGTTATGGCGTCCACAACCCTCTCTCCTCCTCTCCCCGGACCAGGCCCATCATGCGCCCGTGATCGGTGCACGCCCCTGCCTTGCCAGGACAGGAGGGCGCAGGCGCCGATCCCGCAGGTTCAGGACGAGCCCGTCCAGCAACCGTGCCCTCCTCCTCTCGGGCCGGACGAAAGGGGGGGATTGGGAAAGGAGAGGTTACGAAAACTGCTGCATGCAGCTGGTTTCGGCCCCACCGAGGGGCCCATCCCTCGATACATAGCCGCCTCCGGCGCCGGGAGGCGCCGGGAAAGTCAGCTACGTGAGCTGATTCTCAGATCCTCCCTTTGCTATCCCCCCTTTTCGCCCGGCCCGATCCTTCCCCCTCGCCGACTGGCGCCGTCGTCGTCGGTGGCCTTGCTCTTTTCCCGGGCCTCGTGCCCCTTCGCGGGCGCGCGCGA